GCAAGTCAACAGAACTCGCCTTTTAGATGAGAAGTTGCTGATTGTGAGGGTTTCGGTCGGAATCGAAAAGACGTGAAATCGAAAATAGTATTGTTCACAACTTCATGATTAGCACAATTTAGCTCTGGGTAGGTCTTGAATTCGTAGCCCTGTTCCTCTATAATATCCGTATTTCCAAGGGGATTATTTATATTTTCAAGGTGTCCGACTCTGAAATCGCAATCGTAACCAGAACAAGTAGCGATGGGTTTGAATACTTTATTAGTTCGACTGTTCTGTGATCCAAATAAATTTGGAATAGCAGGCTGCCCTGAGTCTCTCGATCTATGTCAACTATTAGTTAGATAGCTCCCAAATTTCATGTATTGCTTGAAAGTTGATTCTGTAATTTTCTCTCTCGCCATACACAATGAAACAGTGAGATATGAATCTGCACTGAATTCGATCTCTTGAATCTCTTGAATTTCTACACGTGAGAAAAGCTGAGAAGTAGTAATAATTATCAAAAATAAACCAAGATACTTACAAGCTGTCTGCCATTGTATTGTTTGGTGGCTCGTGCTCAGTCGGGTTAATGTTGTTCCATGTTGTTTCAAAGTGGATTTGGGTGTGGAGGAAATACCTAAATATTTTGTAAGTTTAACAAATTTGACAAGGCTGAGCAACTACAACAAATTCAGCTTTGAATCAATTTTTTTATCAATTCAACAACAACATGGCACCAAAGCGCAAACTCTCGGATTCTGATGCCGCAGAAGTAGTGCATCCATCTAGACAAATCCAAGTCTACGGCGATGAACCAAAACCTGCAAAAAAAAGAAAGTCAGAACCTGCATTTAACAAAAAACAAGCTCATGCCTCCAGCGTCAACACCATAAAAAAGAAGATAAGAGACATCACAAGGAAGCTTGAAAGGGCGCAGGATCTTCCTGCAGATGTGCGCGTGGATAATGAGCGAGCTCTTGCTGCATACCAACAAGAATTGGCCTCTGCAGAAGCTGAGAAGATTAGACAGAAGATGATAAAGAAATACCATATGGTCAGGTTCTTTGGTATGTTACTCCCTCGGCACAGGATTTGTTTTCCAACAGACTAATTGGGAATTATAGAGCGTCAAAAGGCTACCAGGCAATTAAAGAAACTCCGAAAACGTCTTCTGGAATCTGAATCTACTGAGGAAGTCGAGCAATTGAAGGATGAAATGCACATTCTCGAGGTAGATCTCAATTACACTCAATACCACCCTCTAAGTGAAACATACATTAGTCTCTATCCACCAAAGGGCTCGGGAGAGGATGCAGAAGATAAAGCGACTAAGGAAAAACCTCCAATGTGGAAGGAGGTCGAGAAGTGCATGGAAGAAGGAACCCTTGATCGATTACGGAATAGAAAGTCAGATGTCACTGTTTCGACTACAAAGGCTGTCAGACTTCCAGAGAGAAAACTTGTAAAACCCAAGTCAATGCCAAAACCAAAGCCTGTCGTCCAAGCCCCAGTTATCGACACGACAGGAATGAATCGACGCCAGAGAAGAGCTCAGCGCGGAGTGAAAGACTCTAGGGCTACAAAGATCGCAAAGAACAAATCTACTGGATTTTCTAAGAACCAAGCATTTGGGGCCGTGGAAGGAGCAAGAGCGGATGAGGCTCAAGATGGTAATGTTAGCGATGGAGGTTTCTTCGAGGAGTAATGGTAATTGTATGGAGTTGGACTGTATTACGATACCCGTTTATCAAACACGTTTAAGTGAAAACCATGACTATCAATGTTATACTGTTTTATCTTTCAACAAATTCTGCTTGCTTTCGTGATACATTGTGTTATGCATCACCAGTCAAGCAGCAGTCTGCAATTGGGAAGCACTAAAAGCTGATTCAGATTATCATAAAGTTCTTAATGTATTGGCTGTGATTTTCTGGGAATAGAGACTGGTCGGATAGCCGTAGGTGGAACTTTTTAGTACAAATGAGTCTATTTGCGATCATCGAGACGGCGTTAAGTGTAATTTTTTATTAGGCGCATGTGATCTATGATGAGCCCCAAAGTCAAGACCAAGAGTTATAAGTTATTCTCATTTATTTGCCATGTATGGTATGACTATTTTCAACCCAGCATGGGGTATTTCGACATTTTCAGGCATTCTATCAAGCCAGAACATTGACATGAAGCAATTGTTCGCAATAAAGCACCTCTCAAAAATTCACCAGCCTCACCACTCCCACCATCCATCCACCTAGACATCCCAAAGCCCTCCATCAACCATCGACTACTTCACCACCCAAACAAAATTTAAAAGCCAAAAAAAATGTTTTGGTTGTATCGAAACTCACTCCGGGAACGTCAGCAACAATGGCTGAGATCTTTTCGGAATTCGGGCATGCAGAAGCGTGACCGTAGTACCACCCATCTCTGTTTGTTTCTGAAGGTAGCGTTGTTGTTTAGATCTATATTCCTATGTGATAAGGGAGTGAATATACATCAAGTGGTGCGCAGTGTATAGTACCGAGTTTGTAGGTGAACACGCGAAATGACTTGGGTACCTACTAGGGATTTAGAGGAAGGGTGTTCGGTATTTTATTCTTCTTCACTTTATATTTTATGGGCTATTGCGACAGGGTAGAAGTACTGCTGGTGGTAAAAAAAAATACCTAAAATCTCAAGACTAATAATAATGTCGCGCGGGTGAGTGTACATGGCGAGTGTAGTGAACATCTGCTCATATATTAGACATGTGGGTCCACATCCGCGAAGCGAGAAACCATATCGACATCTTTAAATAAGGTCGCTACCTTCAGAAATATAAGAACAAGCGGCTGCTCCCTATGGGCTGCGCTGGCTTAGTGTTCTTAGCCAATCACTTGGTTTGTGCTTTGGTGTCGATGTAGTTGAATTTCGACTGTATGATTGTAACATTAGGGCTTTCCCCCGAAATTTTGCTGTTGTAAACCTCCTTTTCGGGGCTTTCATTTCTTTCTCTATTTTGGGAAACTACAGAGGTCGCGGTCATTTTGGAAGAGACTAGGTAGCCCTGTAGATGCCTATAATTAAGCACACTAACTGGGCATTATAAGATCTATATTTAAATAATTTTAAACCCACATTAAACTCAACAAGCCTATAAACTTTAGGCATTATAGTTTTGGAATAATCTAGAACCCAATTGAGCCTAGAATACAAACATTACTATACCTATTCGAATAAAACGGAGATCAGTTTTTATAGATCCCAACCAAATCCAACGAATTACAGAGCCTTACAGCATATATACCCTAAAAGAGCCTATAATCTTTTTCAAAATGACCGCAACCTCCATACTATTTCCCTTTTTCCCTATTTTTCTCATTCTGATTCTCCATCTCCTTTTTCTAACTTTGAATCGACAATTAAAAGGACGATTTAGATTGGTCCAATACTTATCATCCGGTCGCGTAATTTTCACCTGCTGACTTCATGAATCTAAACCCCATCTCAATTCTCATTTGCGCGTAGAATACAGATTGGGAATATGTAAATAACAAGTGAAAATCAAGAAACTGTGTTGTTTTGGTCCCGGGAATACATATAGTTTCTCGTCAGAGCTGTGTTTAGTGGGTAAAATGGGATTTCTAGTATGGCCTTGTTGGCACCGGGATAACAGGCGATATCAAATTTGGCGATAGGTTAATTCTCACATGACAGTAAGAGATCAATTTTGTTGGCAGTGGTGAGTATCGTTTCTAGTGTGACAATCAGATCAGGGGCATCATATTTTCGACTGATGATAATGTGGGTTTCATATCAGATTTATATTGCTGAAGCTCTTGTCACACTTTCATACTTTCTGAATTTCCTGGTTCCGACATAGGACGAACTGGCACGAGGAGGCCAGCGGATGAAACCGCATCAAGATATGTACAATTATCGGAACGACCACGAAAATTACCATGGATCTCGTTCAAGAGCGAAGCCTTGACTCTTAAACAGGAACAAAATCTCTGTTAGAAGATTATTCAACTGACTGTAGTATGGTTGAGACTCGACTTTGGGATTCAATTCCGACATACCTACCTATAGACAGTTTGATCTAACTTGTGAAATCACTCTAACATGACATGATCTACCATAGTCGAAAGGTATCTAAATATTGACTGATCCAGGGACTAGAAGGAGCCTTCTCAACTGCTGATGTATTCATTGCCCCTAACCTATGGCGACTAGAGGGTACGTTTGACCAAAACAGAGCTCTCATCAGCACTTGTCTTGTTAATAACACAAGAAGGGTGGCATTATGAAGATGGGCCATGTTCTGACACTTGTAAGATTTCGATAACCGATTACACTTTTGGAAATGAAGAGATGGATGATAGAGATTCCATGGTGGCAATAACAGTTAAAAGAAACAAGATGGGAATTCACCGAGATTAGAAAGCTGGTAGCCGACTTGGAGGATAGAGTGGCGGCAATTGGATATGAAACCTTATCGGTATATCCTCAAAGCTCTAGCTGGTCTCGACCAAGAGATGTTCCTGTGTACCCTACATCAGGGCCCAGTAAAAATTGTTTTAGTACTAGCCTTGAGTAGCTGGACAGTGACTCACGATCTCTTGACGTCTACAGTAGACCAGACCCTGATCACATTCTCAAACGCCTGCGGATAGGGCCTTTCGATATTGCTGTAGATATTTACTTGGGGAAATTTTCTAAGTTTAAGAGCCTTTCACTCCCCTGAAGTATCGCAGCGCTTTGCAATATAACTATCCAACAGCTTCTAGACACAATGCCCACGAAACTTTCTCCGTCAAGCATTCAAAGACATCGACAATCCATCTCCTATTCATAAGCTAGTCATCACGTGTGAGGGGTCGTCCCGCAACGCTAATGCGGACCCACAGCACCTATTCCACCCCACCTTCTCAAGCAAGCCCCAAGCCAAAAAAAAAGCACATCCCTACCATCCAACAATCACCATCACCAAAATCCCATCTAACCTCTAAAATCCCATCCCCAAAACGCCACGAAAAATGTCTCGCATACTGACCGACAAAATCCGCATCGAGCCTGAGCAAACCGAACCCGAAGACCTTTTCCAATCCTCCCTCTCCGCCCTCTTCCCCGACGATATTCAAAATCAACACGGCGACAAAGATCAACACATCATCTACACCTCCCCAACTCTCGGCGAGATAGTTCTCGAATTATCCTCTCCCCTTGGCGAAAAGGGAAGGTTGTTATTCGCGCATTACCTCTGGAACGCAGGATTACAACTCGCCGAATTTTTTGAAGAAGGGGATGGAAAGCGAGGAGGCAGAGAACGATGGGAAGTCACAGGCGAGAGAGTTTTAGAGGTTGGTAGTGGGACGGGATTAGCAGGCATAGTGACTGCGTTGATGGGAGCAGAAGAAGTGGTTTTAAGTGATTATCCGGACGAAAATGTGCTTGCAAATCTAAAGAAGAATGTAGCGAAGAATATTGAGACGAACGGGTTTGGGGATGTGAAAGTACAGGGGCATGAGTGGGGAGTGTTGACCGATGAATTTTCGATGGGGAATAAAGAGAGCTTTAGTAGGGTGATTGCATCGGATTGTTTGTGGATGCCGTGGCAGCACGAGAACCTTTTGAAGTCGATTAGGTGGTTTTTGAAGGAAGATGGGCGGTGAGTTATCATGAGGGTTTGTTCTTTCTAATTTCTCTTGCCCCATACTACCTAGTGGAGATTACTGTGTTGGGCACAGATGATTGATCAAACTTCCCCGTTGGCAGAATAACTGATTCAATTAATATCTAGGGCTTGGATTTGCGCAGGATTTCACACCGGCCGGGAACTAATGCGTGGGTTCTTCGAAGAGGAAAAGCTGACAGCAGCTGGCTTGGAGATAGAAACAATATATGAGAGAGATGCTAATGGTGTCGAGAGAGAGTGGGTTGCAGATAGAGGAGCAGAAGATCGAAATGCAATCGCCAGAAAGCGATGGCTGGTAATTGCTATCCTGAAGAGACGATAAATCTGTCCATCGAAAAAAGTTCTTGTACACAATTCGTTTACATATCATGTCTCATACCCCAGCAGCGAGGATAATGGTGTTTGTTGTAATGCTTTTCAAATATATTGCTTTAGAGCTACAACGAGGCATCCGTAGACAGCTATAATCATAGTATAGAGAGGTTCACACCAATTAGTGGCAGACAATTAAAAGACCATAGATAATGTCCTTCGCTTCTCTGGAAAAACGACAGGCACAGAACATACTGGTGAGAATAAACTAAAACACCAATATGAGCCCAATATGAGCATCCCCTTTCATCTATGACGCCGCCACTGTCTTGCGCCTATCGCCTCGAATTGTGCCCAGATCACTGGATTTTTTCCGTCTCAACGACTATTTTAACATCTCCATCCATCCACTCTGTCTTTCTGACTGATAATAGAGCCATGGCATACGTTGCTTCCGACTTAATCTCGACCAAGCCATTGGGACCTAAAACCTTCATAACTGTCTTCTTATAAGGTGCTTTTACTGCGGCGTCAACATGTGCAGTAAAGCTGACAAAACCTACACAGTTCGTGGGATTTAAGGTAAACATATCCCTGATACGTTTGCCATTATGAACAATATTGATATGATACTCAAGTGGTGCTGGCTGCTTGGCACTAATTCTTGGGGATTTAGCTATTTGAGGCTCATTTACTCCATTAGCGGTCGCATTGGCTGCTACGGCTTGACTGGATGCAATTTGATTAGGCAAACTGAGTTTGGGATCAATTGTTGAGGGGCTGGATGCCGGAGTGCCATGAGAAAACGCCGCAGCGTGTAATTGGGAAAGCTCTTCCTCTTTCTTTTTTTGGATTCTTAGGTTAAGGGCATATAGTCGCTGTCTCTCATTGGTGACCATGCGACGCAATAAAGGGGTAATTCTAGTAATGATCCTAGAGATGACTGTCAAAAGAATAGCACGTGAATCGGTAATTACAAAACTCACCTATTAGGCATTTGAGGCCACATGCACTTCCTTGTAGCACCACTTGGAGAATCTTTACTGAAAAGTTTTTGGCCCCATCCCTCTCCTCCTTCTGCCTCGTCGGCCAAGAAATTTCTGACACATGCATAGAGCTTCAGCTTTGTCATATCATTATCTCTTTTTTCTTTAGTACCGACACATGCGCTTCGATCTGGGTGACTCGGATCTAACATGTAGTCCTTGGCTGCAGCTTGTAGCGTGATGAAGTCTTCAGGTGCCAACTCCAACTTTGCGAAAAGCTTCGACATTGCCGGTCCTACAATGTGGTTAGCCACATTATTATATGATAATAATGGGGAGACTTACTGGTGTATTTTCTGTTAGTTGCTGTTGATTTTCGGAAAAGTGCTGCAGCTGAATAAACACCATGCGCTCTTGGGTTGAGATCAGGAATTGTCGACGATTTAGCTCGAGAATCGTTGTCATCACCCTCACCTTCTCCCTCAACATCTTCATCCTCTTCCTCGATATCAGAAGGTTCCGACCCCCATATTTCTCGTTCTCTCGCAGCTTCCTCTTCCTCTTCCTCTGTGAGTTTTCGCACTTTTCTTGGTCTAGATTTAGCATTTATAAAACCAAACATTTCGCCCACTTCCTCTGCTGCATCTTCCGATTCATCTCTGCGACGTTTTGAGGATGCATTGCTTGGTGAACCTCGAGTACTTTGTCCATTGCCATTATTGCTTGATGGTGTGCCTGATCGCATGCCAGTTACCCCTCCAGCCGTATCGGCAGCTTTCAAAAGGGTCGCGAATTGTGCATTTGTGCTGGTAGATTTAGGAATCTCGTGATTGCGAGAGGAGTCCCATTTTGTGTTTGTAAGTTTTTCCAACAATTCAATTGGATCATCTATATCTGCAATATCTTTGACGGTCAATTCACGCCTGTCTATTTATCGAGTCAGCAGTGTGATATTAGAGAAATGTGACATTGGAGCTCGCTACTTACTTGATGGATAATTTGGTAAATCTGCATATCTATTACCAGTACCATTTCCATGTTCATTCCCATTAGTTCCTAGGGTTCTCACTGAATGTGCTTCAGTTTGAATTGTTGAAGGTGTATGGAATTGAGTTTCATTAGCCATGATGCATTCGGCGATTGATGGTGATGACTTGTGGGTACACCGTTTTGTCCTGTTTGCTCTTTGCTCAAAATGCGAATTTCTTTTTGCGACTTTGGCTTGGTGGGTTGGTGGGTTGATTGAAAGGTAAGATTTCATGTGATCATCGGGACATCGGAGTCAAAAAAGATTTTTTGCAAGGTTATCGCTAGATGAATCATGACCTATCGATGATTGGATTAGTCATGATTAGTCATCATCTTCCATGCAAGCTTGTGGATGGAATTTACCAACAAAAGCGGATGAGACAGTACTAATAAAGTACCTAGTAGCCTTGGAAGTCCTTTAGTGGGCCGTAGGTACTAGTAAATGCTTCATTGTACGAATTCATCATACAAGTCGGTATACTCGTACACACTAAATAATTCACCAGGGCCCATTCGATACCATTCATCAGAACTGGCAGAACAACAAATGAATAGTTATTCTATTAATCATTGATACCTTTTCACACTCCTCTAAATGGAAACACCCTCTATCATCGTTCTGATATAATCGTCATGATAGAAACGCTTGCAACTTCATCGCCTATAGGCTCAGAGATATTTGCTCTGATTGCCCTGTTGGTTATTAGTCTAGTTGTACTACTTATACTCCGACATTATCTGCCTATCCGTACGACTCCGGCATACCTTCTAGTTCCCATCTTTTTCGCGCTCTGGCTGCCGGCAAGTATCGTATTACTTGTTCCTATTGATCTTGCTTCAAGTGCAAGGACCGAAGATGCGGGAAGTCGAGGAATATGGCTCTACGATCGAGTGCTGTTGGTCGCCTGGCGCATCACATACTGGCTCACATTTGCCTTGACTTGGTTCGAGACACTTCATGCCTCTGTTTGAGACCATACTGATATTTCACTAGGTTCATTTTACCCATACTTGCTGAATATGCCGATGCCGGTTATCGAGATCCAAAAGGCCGTCTACTATTTTCTTTGCGCGCAAATGCCCAGTATCAAGCCCTTATTCTCGGGGCCGGCCTGGCTACGATGTTATACATTTTTATCAAAGAAGGAGTGTCTCCAGAGTCATTAAAGAGTGTGGTTATGGCTCTTGCATATTGTTGGGGTTTGGTTTTGGCCATTTATCTCATGGGTCACGGGCTTGTCGCAATACCTCGAAACCTTTTTAGAAACGCAAGCATTAGTGGAAAATTAAGGAGGATTCAAACTCGGGCACCTAAAGTTCATGAAAACATGGAGGAGGCGATTCAGAAATTGGAGGATTTGGAGGCACAGGTTGCCCAGTTGGCTCAACGGAAAACGGGTACTGCGAGGGACTTTAAGGACTGGATCGAGGAACTTGCGGATGAAACACATTTACCCGAATCTCGACCGCGAACTTTGTCACGGCGGATGTCTGAACCAAATGCAACTATTCCAAATGTCATTACGGAACGATATCTGGCAGATCTCAGTCGCCAGCTGACAAGAGCCAGACACAGTCGTGCCCGATACCTCGATGAATGGGATCGACTTCTCAAAGATGCGGTGCACACACAAACCGTATTGGATTCAGCGGCATCAAAGAAGATTGAAATCGGCCAAAGCTCCCCCCATTCTTCTGCATTCAATCGAATCACTATTTTTACACCTCATACTCGGTATCTTTACGAGTACTTCTTCCTACCATACTCCAAAACTGCGTTGGGGGCTGTTTTAACTCTCGCGTCAATATGTATCATTTGGTCTGAATTCATCAAGTCCATCAACCCCATTTTCTCTATTATTGCTGTCACGGTTGTTCATCATCGGGATAGTGAAAAAGGCGAAATTGGATTCGCAGGCCAGGTGATTGCATCTTTCTGGATCTTGTACATGTGTGCAGCAGCTTTGAGCTCCTTGTCTGAAGTCAAGGTTTGGCGGGGACGCGCACTTGTCAGGAGAAACACTCATGGAGAGGCTGCTATGTGGTTTGCAATGCAAGTAGCCAAGCTTTCCGTGCCGCTTTCCTTCAACTTTATTACCTTTCTCCCGCCAGATGTCTACAAAAAGACGATGTTTTACAAGTTTCTTGGAAAGCTAATTGTATTTACACCCTTAGGGGACTGGTTTGATTGGTTTTTCCCAATATTTATATTAGTTCCTGTATGCGCAACCCTTTTCAATTTATATGGAAAAGTTAAAGATTGTGTGGGATATGGAGGAGTCATTGAAGATGAGGATGAAGAAAATGAAAGTGGTTATGGTACAGGATCTTGGCGTGAAGGTCGTGATCTGATTGAGCGCGAGTTGAATGGTGGCCACTCATCACTCGGTGGACTTGGAGAAGTTTCTGTAGATCGACGTTCGGTTCCGAACAACCCCAACAATCGGGCCGCTCCTGTATTGACTGTACCGCGAGCCGAGAGGCAACGAGCCCTTGGCACAGCATCTACCTCGAGACCAAGTGTTGAGCCCCAACAACGCCGCGTCGAACCCGAAGATGAGAACTTTTTTGAAGCATTGGGTCACCGAATGAAGAACACCATCGACACTTTTGAACCACCACGATTCCTCGAGGGAATCAAGAAACCGAAGTGGATGGGAGGGGATGATGAAAATGACGGACAATCAAGCAGGAGTGGGAACGATTTCACTCGCTGGTTTGGGGGTGGTAATCAAGAAGGAAGAGTAAGATTGTAAGAAATATTATACAGTTTGTACTTTCTCATGGGCATAGCGGGCGGAGTTTATAAGAGTTGGAAAGGTCGTGTCCCTCAATACCTGGACACTTTTGAATTCATAGAATAATCAATGATAAGATATAGTATATCCCTCAAAGGTTTTCTTTGATTAGCACAGGAGTCTCTTAACGAGATTAATAATTGAACCCCTAAAGATTTATATGAAACGATCAAAACTTAATATCTTCATCTTCATGTCTCTCGTTCAAAGATTCCAGTCCATTCTACTCGGTGAACCCCGGATCGTACAACGCACCAATCAATCTTCATCCTCAAGACTCTGTAATCCATTCTCCAGCCTCTTTTTAAAAAATCATCACTGATCAAAGCCTCACTAAGCCTAGACCTGCAGTTCTCACCGCAAGAAATAAAACCCTGTCAACACGGACTTGGCATCTAAATCTCCACAAGCACAGCAGTATCCACTCCGATTATCTATCTGTCAGACCCAGATTTGCCCGTTGACACGGGTTTGTAGCGGGGTTTAACGCCAGAGCCGCTTCATGTACCGGACGATGTTTTTGGTCTGGAATATGAATTGAGTCTTTTTCTTCTCTCTGTGTTTTTCTGCCTTCGTTCAGCTTGCTTTACGATTCGCTGCGAGAGTTTTTGATTCCAATTGATTACTGAAGAGTAACTTTGAATTTGAAGACCCGGCTGACCACCGATTCTTGGACCGGGAAAGACGATTTTGATATAGTGAATTATTTTGAATAAGCATCTCAAAATCTAAGGTCAATAGAAGGAATTTCAAACCCATAATTAATACATGAAGATTTGCAAAGATGGATGATTATATGTTTACGTTAGTATTATGAGTTTGAATTTGCTTAGGGAAGGTTGCTGATTTGATATCTGGTAGGTCAAATGTCGCTCGGTGCAGAAATGTTATCGAGCATACTACTTATTTGGAGATGGTATCTTATTCGGTAAGAGATGCTTCAGAAATAGTGAGAAAATCATTGCTAATTCTGTTACAGGATCCTACTTTGAATACGATAGAAGAGCACCCTTTAACACCTGATGAATTTGAGAATTTTCTCAATCGGAGGGTGAGATGGATTGTCCTTGATATCATGAAATTTCACTGACGCCCATTTTTCTATAGGGTGCTTTTGCTCCTCCAGAATTACCAGAGGGAGTGGTGCAGATAGCATGCGTTCGGTTGATGTGAGCATTCATCGACGAACCTTTCATGAAGAGATGCTGACATTTTTACAGCCTTCAATTAAATGCCAAGCACCCAGATACTTTCGCTACCAATGTTCTCAGTTTCCCATCTGCTTCATATATTTCCATGGTGAAGACTATGAATTTACCTTTTAGATCAATCGAATCTGGGAGTGCCGTCGGTCCTATATTCTGGGCTGCTTATGATCAGGATGAAAAGAATCCCCATCTACGCAAGTTTTCATTCTTCTGTAGCCCAGATATCAACTAACATATTATCAGAAATCGTGAATCGCAAAAGTGATGTCCGGAAAAAGGGGCTGACGCGTGGTTGGGAACTTACTCTTTCTCATGATATCAACTCTGGGTTAACAACTGGATATGCGAAAGGCACAGAAAGTTCCGACATGGTGGAATCCATTAGACATCTCAAAGCTTGTATTCTCCAAATCGGACATCCGATGCTGTTACCAGCCATCATCTTTTCCCACGACATATCATACAAAACCGATCTCAAGCAACGAGATGCACGTGACTGGCTGCGAAAACTCGAGCATGCTGTATCGATGCGTTCGGAGATTGAAGAGAAAGAGGGATATGTGAGAGAAGGTGTTATAGATCTCGATGCTATCAACAGAGATTTGGTTGAATGTCATTCCCAAGTGTTATGGAAGAGACCGAAAGCTTATCTGCAGATTTTAGCACAGCTGGAGAAGGCAATGAAGATGTTTGAGGAAAAATTACCAGAGAGGAGAAATGATGAAACTATGAGAGCTTTGCAGGCTAGCATGTTAGCAAGATTTGACTTCTATCGGGTGAAGCTTCAGGGTATCGATAGTTACGCATATACAACATTACAGAGATTGGATATCCAACGAAGTGCAGTTCGTACTTTCCTCCCCTCAAGCTGTGCAAAACTAATCAGAGAAAACTAGCTCTACAACATCATCGCCCAAAAAGAATCCAAACTCAACTTCCAGATGGCCAAAGAACAACGCCAGCTTGCTCACGCTGCAAAACGCGATTCCAGCACGATGAAAACTATTTCGCTCCTCAGTGCCATTTTCTTCCCCGGCGCCTATCTCGCTTCCGTCTTCTCAATGACCTTTTTCAATTTCCAGAACGAACCGGGAACACCGGCTGTGAGCGAGAGTTTCTGGTTGTATTGGGCTGTGACGATTCCGTGCACGATGATTATAGTGGGATGGTGGTATGTGTGGGAGAAGAAGAGAGAGAGGAGATATAATCTGGAGGATATTGATTTGGAGAAGGGCAGCGATGATATGGAGAAGGAAATCATGGCGACGATGCGAAAGAGAACGATGAGTAAGGCTAGTACGTGGGACAGACAGAATCCGATGGGGAATGCGAATGGAAATGGTCATGGTCATGGTCATGTACATGCACACGTGCATGGTATTAGTGAGAAGGTCCATGGGATTGGCGAGAAATTGGGGAAGAAAATGGAGTAGCGAGCAAGCGAGCGAGAAAGGAGATGTTGGAGGAGGTGTGAGAGATAGATGGATTTGGGATGAAATGTATATTGGATTTGGAGTTTGGGATGTGAAGTTTTCCATTCTTCTAATCACGGAATAGGATATACATGCGTGCATGACAGGAAGGCAGGAAGGAAGGAAGGAAGGGAAAAAGGAGTTCTTGCTCTAGTTTTTTGCTATGCGTTGCTATGCGTTGCGTTGCGTTGCTTTTTTTTCCCTACGTGGATTTCACGCTTTACAATTTTCACGAATTCACGATGATGAGATGAGATGAGATCGATGCTACGATTTACGATGGGATGAACAAACGAACAAAGGAAGAAATGCTTGCATACATGGATATAGAAAATGTATACTAGATATACAAACTACGTACATGCATACATACATACCTAGGTATCAAGAATTGAAATCGAATAAATTTCATATATCTACACTTTGTAACACTAATAAGTGAGACAATAAGTTCCGAATAGATGAGATGAGCATCTATCTATCTACTTTCAAATCTTAATTTTCGATATCCGCCTGTTTTCCTTCCATGTCCATTTCCGGGTATATCCAGTATATGTATACAGTACACCCACTCAGGATACTCGTAGAACAATGAAAATAGAAGAAAAAAGATAAAGATCTTGACATGGTACTTAAAAACTTACAAGCTTGCAATTTTGATCGCGGAGAATCTAGCTTCCAACACTCTCTTGTTGTGATTTTCATCCATCCGTCTTTCGATCTGTTCAGACCAATTGTCAGTCTGAAGTTTTGCCTTTGTTGTATGCTTCATTAAGAATGTGGTGAGGGTGAGCTTAGCTCACCGGGGATCACAGACTCACCGGGAGCAAATCTCATGTTCGACGAACGAGATATTGACAACAACCCACGAAGTAATACTTATTTTGATGGCATCAACTTATCTCTAGTCTAGACTGCGAGATAGAAATGAGTAATCAACCTTGGACATTTGTCACATTCATCACTTTCCCAAATCGACGACCGGATGCTCCAAGCGTGCCATATCCATGTGTATGAACAAAACATCAATTACAATTGAGTCCATAACCTTCCTCCCAATTTGGACTTACTCGTTGTTCATGACCGACCAATGTCCAACCAATAATTACACATAAGAACGCCAACACAAAACCTCCACCCTTTCCCAGTCCCGACCCAAACCTTACCCATTCTACCTCGTACACATATACATCCATACGGAACATTACTCATCGCCATCATCATTAACTTTTTCTCCCTTCCCATCCGGCCCAGATCCTCCGGCCACACTAGAAACAAACTCCTGATATTTGAATACATCCTGCCGTCTACTTCCACTCATTGCTCCTGTGTGTTTTGATAATGCTTTTCGTGCTGTGAACCCACCCATAACTCTATCGACTTCCCGTTCCGTCAAAGGTTTCACCCCTGGATCGGGTGCTGTATGTATTAAAGCATCTCGTAATTCTGCGTAATCCACTTGTCCACTATCATCTTCGTCGAATGCAGAGAATGCATCTAATAATTCTGGAGTTGGCGAAAGAGTACATAGCTGTGTAGCGAGCGAATTGAGAAATGTAGGGAGTGTGATGGTTTGTGGAGTTGATGGTGGGAAGTAACCAGCCAATTCTGAAGCATTGGAGGAAAGACCTAGAGAATATTAGCATCTTGACATACTTTGTTAATTTGGCAATGCTAACGTACCCAATTGAGTCAACATGTCAGCTACATCTTCTCTACCAACTTGTCCATCACTATCTCTATCCAAGATCTGAAATCCTTCCCTCATTTCTCTGACTTGCGCGTTGGACAATTTCGACAGTGCATTATCGTTATCGTTAGAATAGTTCGAACTCGCCGCTCTCAATGGACCACCAAATCCCGGACTCAATTGTGCGCCTTTTGTAGGTGAAGGTTCCGCTTCACGAAAGGCAGGAGGAATACCTCTTGGAGTCCATTTGCTTGTAGTTATTCCATCCGACGAATTGGGTGTAACCGCATTACCAAGTCTACTTGGCGTCACCATGTTCTTGACAACAGCAGGATTTGGATTTGGAGTTGATTGTCTTAAAGGAGAAAGGGAAACTGGAGTAGTGGATTGAGATTGAGATTCAGGCCTTCGAAATGGTGAAGCTCTAGGTGACCCGAACGAGAGCGGTGATGGTTTATAAGAGGCCGACATTGACTACCAAAAGTCAAAGTGCATTAGTCTTGCATTTTCCTTTTCTGGGTTCCAATGCATCATGCTAAAGAGATGGAAGTAACGACTTTTGAAAAGTGGACCGGTGACAACTTACCATGGCTGTTGTGGAGGTTCTAAAGATTCCCCAGAAATTCCGTACAAAAAGAGTGTAATGTTTGATGAATCTTGGTAGTGAGAGTATATCGTAGATTTATTTAATTCTTGATGTTGTGTTAGGTATACCTGGGTAGGTACAATTGAATTGATGTATTGATTAGATCAAAAGAAGGCAAGAAGGGAAAATGGAATTGAGTGAAATCAATTGGACAAATCAATGTTATGTGTGGGAAGAGTCGAAGGCAGGTAATGAATGGATGAATGGATGAATGAATGAATGAATGAATGGTAACAACCTTATGAATGGTACCTAATTATGATGAAGATGGAGAGGCTGAATGTTTTGGTTCGGTTGCTGGTGTAAACAAAACCAATTGGAAGCCCACCAACCGCAAGGTTATCTTGATGCATTGATTTGATTGGTGAATTGAGTGAATTATAATTAGATAATAAGTTTCCTAGCACGAGGCTAATAATAACATAATAACTGGACGGGACTGACTGGACTGGACTGGCGGGACTGGGTAGAGATGCAAAGGATTCCAAGAACTTGGATATCTACCTGGGTAGGTAGGTAGGTACCTTGGAAGGGAGTGGGGGTTGAGATCCTCACTCAGATGATGAATCATGAAGCACATTTTATATTCTTTATGACCGTGATACCACGCCTCATGCCTAGGTATGGATGCAAGGGATCATGCTACAATTGACTAATCGGTGATTTTTATTGTGAATTAGACTTTGAACCAATGATTGGGATATCTTGGAATCCTAGGGACCAAGTAGCCTTGTGAGTATTCCAGTACCAAGGTATGTAGGTACGTACACCTAGTATATACCCAGGTAGGTAGGGAAGATACGAGATGGCAGCGAGATACTACCTGGTAGATGTGACAGATAGTTAGATGGAGAGATGGATAGCTAGCCTTGTACTAGAGCATTCGATTAGTCGTACATAATACTCCGCAGGTAGCCAGCCGTGCCAGCCATTTTCGCAATCGCCGAACTTCACAAGTTGTTATGATCATCACAATCCCGGTTGGGGAACCTGGACCCCTATTTATGGATAGATGGATTTTACCCCTGAAACGGAAGAAAACGAGGTAGCAAACCATTACCACACAACCAACCATACAACCATACAACTATACAACCCTACAACCCTACAACCCTACAACACTTAACTGGTTATCGGAAACACAAGAGAATTGGTGTTGCAGAAATATTCTCTCACTATTGTATCAATATCCTTCGACTCAATAATGATACGTTACTTGAGCACCTGAATACCTCCAAGACTAACAAGGTACTTACTATATCAATACATGGCTACATGAATACATGAATACATGACTACCGACCTACTTACATGACCATATGAGACCTCTAAATCCTTTTCGTCTCATTCTTATTTACCTAGCTTCTTCTCCTTTTCTCCCATCTTACTTCTACTTCCACATTACATGTATCTGGTTTGACTTTGATCCTTTCTTACATACATGATTTCTCTTCTTTCTCGCCCTCTTTTTCCCCTTCTCCTTCCCCTTCTCCTCCTCCTCCTTCTTCTTCAACGGTAATATACATAAAATCTAGACGGCGATACCCTTGAAATCCAAAAATTCTTCGATGGTCAACCTGCGCACGGATTGAATGAAGGCCTCAATTTTCCGCTAGGAAGTCTAAAGTCTCACAAGTGGGACTGTTACTGATACTAGCGTGAACCTAGCTAATAATTGCTTTCTTGGTCTACAGTAGATTCCAGTATGGCATCGGCACTTTCATATGCGCCTCCAAGTCGCAAGGCCAATCCTACAAATATGTCGATGCAAGCACTTCGTCCCACCACGCGGGGTACAATAGGAAGTGGAACAACAAGTTCGAATGGGAGTTTTCAAAGGAGAACTTCCTTATCTTCATTTCCATCCTCCCGTTCTCCTTCAGTCATGTCACAACGTCGTCCTTCGCGAAGTCCGAATCCCCCACCAATAGACACGGATCGAACTTCTGATCCAAGTACCGTCACTTCTAAAACTCCCACCAGCGGTGTATCGTCCCAACACTCATCATTGTCCGCTCCAAATAAATATAATCCAAGTGCACATCCTGCCAGAAAACTGAAATCACAATATCCTCGAGGAGATACAGAGAATCATGTCGAATATATACTGGTGGCATCATTTGATATTGACAAGGGACCGATTATGGAACATCAATACCCTGTTGCTATAACGGGCGACGAGCACATGTTAGCAGAATTGATGTTACCAGATCAAGCCCACGTTCGAAACCAAGATTGGACAATATTCTTCCTACATAAAGATACGAGTCAGGACGAAGAAGAGGCAGAGGAGAAGGCAGAAAGAAAAAGGTTACGAAAGGCAAAAAAAGAAGCTAGGGCAGCTCTTTTTGAGAGTGGGAATGTTGACCCTTTAGAAAGGGTGGATGGTAGTGAGGAAGATTCATCAGAAGATGATGAACCAGAAGGAGGCGAAGGTCCGCCTTTAATATATGTTTTGAATCTTGTCAACACAAAGCAAGACAAGACGGCCAAAAGAGGGGCTGTAGTGAAAGCCATGGCAATATGTACTCGACATCCATTTCTGCACATTTATAAGGTGTGTCATTCAAAAATGCCCAATTGGAAACCTACTAATTCTTGACAGCCACTTCTATTGTTAGCTCTTGAAGAATATTTTAAAACACCTCAACCATCTACGCTGGCGGAGTTATATGAGGCTGTAAATACAATGGATTTATCATTAATGCCTAAATTGAGCATACTCGAACGTCATCTTCTACAAGCTAGCGACAACAAAGATCTATTTGTAGAGAAGTTCGAACAGATGATTCAAATGCGTATGGCGGAGGACAAAGGCGAAGCGCTGGACGATATGGCAGCCATGTCCGAAAGTCCAGAAAGGAGACCAGGTTTGGTGCGAAATGGTACAAAAGCACATGTCCAACAACTAATACATTCAAATTACTCGGTACCTCGGGACACACACGAATTTGAGACCAAGGTCATGTATAATGGAATTCCGATACCTATCAAGGTTCCTGTTGCAGTATCTCCTGAGACAGTCGGGGATTTTTCTCTTGTAAAACTCATACAAACATACAACGATCCTCATGTCAAATCCCCCATTCCGTTCGCGCTACATCCTCATCTTACAACGGGAGGTGTACATACTCATCCTATCATTGTGCTAGTCAATGCAATGTTAACTCAAAAACGTGTCATCTTCCTCGGCCACAATCGTCCATCAGGTGAAGTTGCTGAAGCTGTACTTGCAGCTTGCGCTTTAGCGTCCGGGGGAATCTTGCGTGGATTTACACGCCATGCTTTTCCATATACCGATCTTAGTAAAATCGACGACCTTTTAAAGGTACCAGGATTCATTGCAGGTGTAACAAATCCAACTTTCGAGAATCATCCAGAATGGTGGGACGTATTATGTGATATACCATCTGGTCGAATGAAAATCAGTAGTCGAATCGAACAAGCACCACTGACAGAAGGACTTGCAAATTTCCAGCAACAAAATCCGGCTTATGCTAGTGCTACAAATGTTGCAACGTCCACTAGCCAGGCCGCCAGTGATCCAACAGGCGATGCTGCATTCATGAATGATGTGATCCGCAGTATTGCAGCTAGACATGGTGAGGGTGTTATTCGAGCCAAATGGCGAGATTGGGTTGTCAAATTTACCAGAATCTCGGCCCAATTTGAAGAGAGTGTTTACGGCGCAAGCGCTTTGTATATTGGGGTAGAAAAGGCAGAGCCCGGTAATGAAAACGTCAGCGGCCACGGATACGTTTGGCCTGATGATCATGCGAAATTCCGTGAGCTCGCTAGTAACGTAAATCGAATTGAGGGCTGGAGATCCACTCGAAGTTACTACAGCTTCAAGCAGGTATGTCTTGTGCTTGAACTTTCATGATATTAAGGACTTACAATACTCAGGACCTCGTACAACTGTACAACTTTCGACCTCTCAAAGCCCTCGACCTCCATCATTTACACGATCGTCTGCGAATGACAAAGCTTACTCCTAGTGCAAGCCGTGATATATACGTCGCCATGGAGAAATACACACATTCATATGATGAAATATGTCAGCTTCTAGCCGTAGCACCCGAATCACATGCAGGACTCTTCTATATTGCCCTTGGTCTTTTTCACAAAGATCGAGATGTTCGGATGAGAGTTGTTGATTTGTTGGAAAGGGTCAGCGATCATGAAGCTGGGCGACATTGGTGGAAAGCCCTGAGTCGATTCGAGAAATTAGCTTTTATTCGCATTAGGAGAGAAGCAGAAGCTGAGATGAGGGCCAAGTTGGGGGGTGTTGAGAGAGACATCTCGGCTGACGGTGACGCAATGGTTTTGGGAAGACGAGTCAGTTGATATATCAAGAGAAGGATTTGATCGCATGTTGGTGTTGGCTTCTTTTTAAGATTTTACGAGATCATGATCATCGCGATATTAGATGGGAGGTGCTAGGGTGCAATTGTTTAGGGACTGCATTGATTCATTACTGGACTGAGAAATTACAGAGCCATGAAAGAACGAAAGGAAGTTCAAGAGATAGATACCCCAGGGAGACAGAACAGTTTTGCGGTCGAATGGAACGGCATTTATGACAATGCCACCATCATTTTATGATCCGTATATTTCGTCTGGACATTGAACTTGGCGAATGTCCCCGGCTAACTTTGATCCTCCCGGTGAGCCAATGTAATTTATATGCCTCGACTTGCGAAGAACCCACAGGAAATATTTTCCTAATACAGAATCAAAAATCAACAATGGAAAGCTATACCGAGGCCGATAACGCGCATTTGGCATAAACCCCAAAAATAGATTTCTGCCTGCGCTAAAACCTTATTTAGAATTTAATGGTGTATATATAAAGAAAATAATTCAATTCAGTATATAACCTTAAAGAAAACTATAAAAGAAAAAGGAAAAAGATATATATATTAATTAGAATTCAAAGAATCGATTAATATAATTCTTTTTGAATTATTTTAAAAATTGAAATTTATATTTAATTTAAAGAATAAGAGATTGAAGATTGAAATTTAATTTTTTTTTAAATTCAATAAAATGTTTCTATATTGAACATAAATTTCAGTTTTTGAAATAATTCAAAAAGAATTATATTAATCGATTTGTTGAGTTTTAACTAATACTTATATTTCTTTTCTTTTTATTTTATAGTTCTCTTTAAGGTTGTATATTGAATTAAAGATTTATTTTTAATATTGATAATATTATTTAAGAATCAGTTAATCATCAAGTCTAGTATTTGAGGTATCAATATAAAACCGATTCATAAATATAATAAAAATAATTAGAATTGAATATAAATCTGAGTTTTTGAGATAATTTAGAAAACAATATATTTATCGATTCCTTGAATTCTAATTAATAATTAAATCTATTTTTCTTTTATTTCATTAATTCCTTTAAAGTTATATACTAAATTGAATACTTTTTCCAATATTATAAAAACTAACTAAAATTATATTAGTTATATGATTTAAGTAAAATAAGCTTGAACTTGAATTTGAGATAAGGAATTCTTACTAAACTTATTTTGCTTATTCTAAAGTAATTTATATATTATAAGAAATACTTACTAAACTTGTTTCGCTTATTCTAGAATAATCTATATACTATTAAAAAAACTATTTGAAAATAGATTTTAAATATTAATACACTTCTTATAAAAAATCTCGAAATGGATTTTAAAAATAAATAAATAAAGTTAACTCTAAGAGTTATTCAACAATATAATCTTTTTTAAAAAAATCCTTTAATAAGATTAGATTCTTTATAATAGAATAAGATTTCTATAAACACACCATACAGATTCTAAAATTTCTTTTTTCATTAAGCAGAAATCTATTTTTGGAGTTTGTGCCAAATACGCGTTATCGGCCTCGGTAGCTAGACCCAGAATTCCGAGTAACGTCCGAATAATGTGGGGTAACATCAAGCTTCGAAGGAGGGGTCGAATAGCTTCAAACGTCATGCCCACATCATTGTACGGACCATAAACAAACAACATTTCCTCCATCTCTCACACTTCCTTCCATCTTCTCTGACTATCATAATCTAACACATTGAATCATTCTCCAAATATCTAATTAAAGTCTCTACAATTAAAGATGTCATTCAAAACTACAGCAACCATTGCCTCCTTCGGCGGCAAATTGCTAAAACTTACACACGATGCTAGCACAGTGGGCTGCGAGATGGCATTGAATCTCTATCTACCACCTAAAGCTTCCGCGGAGAAAAAAGTGCCAGTGATTTTCTACCTAGCGGGTCTTACTTGTACCGGAGACAATGGAGCTGAGAAGGGATTCTTCCAGAGTGCGGCGAGTGAGAAGGGAATTGCGGTGGTTTATCCAGATACTAGTCCGAGTAAGTTTCTTGAAGAGTTCGGAGAAACAGAGATGGTTTATTCTTTTTGCGGTTGTGGTTGAGGGGGGAATGAGTATAGAATGACGAGAAGAGCGGATAGCACACTATCTCCTAATCGAAACCCCTAAGCTAACTCATCCCTTCAACAACAGGAGGTCTCAACATAGCCGGCGAAAATGATTCCTGGGATTTTGGCACCGGAGCTGGCTTTTACATCGACGCCACCAATCCTCCCTACTCCACAAACTACAAAATGTATAGCTACATCACCTCCGAGCTCCCCTCTTCTCTCTTCTCCTCCTTCCCCGAACTCGATTCTGAGAGGAAAAGCATTATGGGTCATTCAATGGGTGGTCACGGTGCTCTTACTCTCTTCTTGAAGAACCCGGGAATGTACAAGAGTGTGAGTGCCTTTGCGCCAATCTCCAATCCGGTCAAATGCCCATGGGGAGAAAAGGCTTTTAAGGGCTATTTTGGAGAGGAGAAGAAGGACGAATGGAAGAAGCATGATGCGACGGAGTTAATCAGTGACTTCAAGGGAGAGTTTCCGGCTTTGATTGATGTGGTCAGTTTTCATTTCAGTATATCTCTGGCATGTATTGGAGGATGGTATGGATTGCTGACATGATTGGAAATCGCACAGGGAACGGGAGACAACTTTTATAAACAGGGACAGTTGTTACCAGAGAATTTCGAGGCTGCGGCCAAGAAGTCAGGAAACAACGGCAATTTGACGCTTAGATACCAAGAGGTAGGTTTATGACTATATTCTCTATTATCTTGAGTGGTCTTGCAGGTGGGCAATTAAACTAACAATTTCTGATAGGGATACGATCACTCATACTTCTTTATCTCGACATTTGGAAGAGATCACATTGAACATGCCGCTAAATATTTATTCGCATAGTATGTCTTCGGTTTTTTTCTCAGTCTCATAAAGTACAGGAGTCAAATACTGAATTTCATAGAAGCAAAAATGATCATGTAAATAGTTATAAGCTTTAAAAACTATATTTAGCGATTCTTCTCATGCAACAAAGTGCCTAAACTTGTATACCTAAATTTGCAAGCCACAGGAAAGTAGCATATATTTTGTCTGCGCGAAGACTGCAAGCAAGATGGACAGATAGGACCCCTAAACACTTTCACTGTTCCAAAAAATCCGATATTGAAATGTCGACTTTGCACGAATGTTCTTGTTCTGGGTAGGCAGAAGATCGTGCTTTCAACATAATCAACTGCTCTGAAGAAAACTGCTCCAAACCCAAATTCGTAAAATTGATTGTTCGGGAATGAGGCCCATGTAGAAATCCAGAGATAAATGCGCTCACCGTTCGATCAAAGTAATGCATAGCCTTCGAATACTCGAGTCAAACCGGAGCTCATTCTGTAACTGGAAGCTGCGCAAGCGTTTTAGATAAAATTGTAACCTTAGGCGATGCGTCCAAGCATGTTTACCATCATCAAGGCCAATTTTATCCATGTATTTCTCAAAGTATATGATTTCCAATTACATATAAGCAAACGCCTTTCATACGCCAATCGCCCATTCCATGCGTCTCCCCGCAAGTATTACCGCAAATGCAAGTGGATCACCACCATCATCTCTCACTGCAGCAATTCCTCGCAAGTCCAATCTTCGTACCTATCAAAATTATCAGTGGAATTCCTCAAGCCATCGAAATGAACCTACCATCCATCGGGCATATAACGTCTAACGATCAGCGGAATCTTTTTGTCCCTCAACTCCTTAATCGCAATTTGCAATGGATCCGTCTCACCCTCCTGATCAACCAAAATCGGCGCATTCATACTAATTTGCAAGGCTCTAGTGCCTAGGATACGCGCACGCTCGTATTTGGTCATGTAGGGTGTGGTAGTTCTTTGCTCCTTTGGAATTTTCTTGTCCTTGGGCGCAATGTTGCTTTTGGCTCGATTTGCAGCATGCACATCTCCCGATGTGACGACGCCGCGCTCGCCGGTAGTGAGGAGCTGATCGGGATTCTGGGTCGATACGGCGACATCGTCTACTTCGCCTGTGGAAACATTGTTCATGTCTTCCATTCCCTCGGGATCATACTCGGGCTCTTCGGCTTCATCGTAGGCTGGGGAGAAACTGGGGGAGATGCGTTAGTTATGGTTTGGAGAACAGCTTTGCGAATGGACAGTCTGAGTATGTGCTATGTGGGAAGAAAGTAACTCACCCGCCATCATAGTTCTCTTCGTCGTCAGACATTTTGGTATGTGATAATTAATGAGGGTGTTGTTGAGAGTTTTCTTTGTTGAAGGGAGATTTAGTCGGTGATGGATGAAGAATCTCAAAAATAAATTCGGCGCGGCTGATTTCTTTGCGCCTCGATTATTCGAGCTCCATATAATTTAAGGTTTGGGTTTAGCGCATTTTCGGTCATTAGCGTGCCAAGATTTCGAACCTTTGCGATAGCCACAATAATTTTATGAAATATTTCGGATAAGGTGATGGATGCTGTTTGAATTGAGGATTTTTGAAGCCAATTCAACAACGTCTGGAGTCAGTAATGGCGACAAATACTAGAAAGAGAACAGGAGATGATTCTCTAGAACTTTCTACGAAAAGGTTACGAATTGATGCCTCGAGTTCTCTGCCAGGTTAGTGCAAATAGTTCCTGGTCTAGACTTCAATTTGGGAACTCGAGATTGACAATCACATAGCGGCAGATGTACTCGATGGTGATAATGATAATGAATACAAGCCGGAGCAAGACCAGATCTCGGAGGAGGAGGAAGATACTATGGAAGCAGCAGATACACCGAATACACCATTTTCACCTGTACCTGGAAAAAAATTCCCATCCGAGTATAAGACGATTAAATGTACGTATGAAGGATGTACAAAAACATTCAATCGACCTGCAAGATTGGCAGCACATCTACGATCACATGCAAATGAAAGACCATTTATATGCTCATATGAAGGGTGTGATAAGGCATATATTGAGGAAAAACATTTGAAGCAACACATCAAGGGATCTCATACTCACGAACGAGAATATACATGTGATTGGGAAGGGTGCAGTAAAAGTTTCTTGACGGCCACGAGGTTAAGAAGGCATAAAGACGCTCACGAAGGCCATGAAAGGTTCAGATGTACATCATATCCTCCCTGCAATCAGACGTTTCGAAAACATCAAACACTCCAACGCCATATTCGTTCCGACCATCTCGATTTGGCTCCATTCCCATGCACATACATCGATCCGATTACGAATGAACTCTGCAAAGCAGGATTCGATGCTTCAGGTGGCCTCAAAAAGCATATGGAAAGAACTCATGGAGCAGCCACGTTTCTATGCGAAGAATGTACAGTACCAGGAAAATTCCACGAAGATGGTACACCCGTACCGTTAGCTTTCACAACGAATGCCAAGTTACAAGCACACATCAAGAAAGAGCATGCAAATTGTATGTTCTGTGATCGAAAATGTTCCAGTCAACAACTACTTCAAAAACATATCGATACTCAACACTCGGGCACTACACTTGAAGAACGTAAGAATATACCTTGTGAATATCCGGGCTGCCCGAAGACCTTTACCAAGAGAGCAAATCTACAAGTTCATATGCGCACTGTACATGATGGACAGCGTTTTATTTGCGGAACATTTGATGTTTCCCAAACTCCCGACCTCGCATCTTGGAACGGAAGCGATTCATGCGGTAAAGATTTCGTATCGAAAGTTAATCTTGAAGATCATGTTCGAACACATCATCTCGGCTTACCCAGTGTTTTGAATGCGAGAGGTAGACGGAAGACTGATTCACAAACTAGACGTTCTGCGAGAAGGGCACCCGAGCAAACCGAAATTGAGGAGTTAGCAGGTTATGATGCCAGAAGAACAATTGATTGTGTAGTTCAGGGATGTCCTCATAAATTTATGAGAGATTATGATTTCCATGAACATATGAGAATTCACCACCAGGATGTCGGTTTTATGGATGGCCAGAACGATATGAATCTAAATATCGATATGAGTATGATGGACCATTTCCCTTATACAGACAATGGAGGAGAACTACCAAGTCTAGATTTCATGAATGATGGTACGGGGATGGATATAGGTGCTCTAGACATGGGAATGGATTTGATCGATCCGGCATTACATACACCCAACTTCAATCTAGAAGCATCGGCATCGGGATCAGCAGCAGCCTCCGTAGCACCTTCAATCAATGGATGGGATACCGCAGATGTAGCTGCAGAAATAGATCTGGATTGGGACTTTCAAAGACAGCTATTGGAAGGAGGACGATTTTGGATTGGTGGAGATGAACAGCAGGCTCCCGGGGGTTCACAGGAGTGGTCACGAGATCAGGCAGAGATGAGGAGTTTGATTGATTGATAGATGCCGCCTGATGAAGGTCTAGAACTTCGAACTTAGCCTCGGCTTAGTCATTGGACTTGCGATAGGTCGAAGATATAGACCTGAAAATCTCGAGACGTTTTACATTGCAAAGAGCTACCCGGTGGCTACAGCGAAATACATCAAATACTCGCCCTCTTCGCTAGGTCAAATCAGTCTTGGGAGTGTAATGGGGTAGTAATGGAAATCCATAACATGATTTTCTTACTTATCTAGTGAGGGATCAAGCGGGGGAAAAAAGAAAAGAATAGAGATAGCAAGCGCTGCATACATCTCTACGATGTCGTTATAGCTGGACTATACATTGCATTGTAATGCATCGTACTGAATTGTACTATACTATGCTGTATTGCGCTACTACCGAAACATAGACTTGGGGGAGAAAAGAGAGGCAGTGGAAAGATATCTACCTCCCCTATGGTGGAATACAAATAATGAATAAATACCATGATTTACGTTATACATGCTTATAATAATCATACTTATATTATCACCATGATTATTACTCTTCGCTTGCTTGCTTATAAGTTACCTCTATTGTTCGTTAATTCGATCGCTCGTATAGTATTGTATATGTATATGTACTTTTTTCCACCAAGGGAAGTACGATCAAGTCGTGCCCAGGTGTATACAAACAAACGTCCATACATACATGTATTCAATCTCAAGTAACCACACCCACCTAACCCTATTTCTATATATCCCCAACAAACAAACTTCAACATAATCGATTACTCAATCAATCCATCAATCCATCAATCCATCAATCCATCAATCCATCAATCCATCAATCCATCAATCCATCAATCCATCAATCCATCAATCCATCACAAACTCTCATACTTTTACGATATTCCAATGAAACATACATAGCATACCCCAACTTTCTCACTCCATTCCATTCCATACCATTTTATTCCAACTCTACGATACGATACGATACGCTATAGGTACCTATCACCACACTACACTACACGATACCATAAAACAACCAACCCCTTTCCTTAACCGAAAGAACCACTACATACTCAAATTACCTATTCCTCGCTGCGTATTTATACATTTAATTTCATCTCATCTAAACCAATCCCTTCCGCACTATACCATAGGTACCATACCATACCACACTATACCATACCATACCGCCACACTACACCTGTACCGAATTGTAAACAAGGAAATGCAGATATAAGTATATTCTACTCTACCCTACTCTAATGCTATTTATTGAAGTTATCGCTATTGCTATTGATGCTGTGCGTCCATGCCCATGTAACCCTCATGCTTATCTGTATCTGCATATGCATATGCATAACCTAACCCGACATAACCCATACCAATGCAAAAGAAAAGAAAAGAAAGGAGAAGAAAAACAAATGTAGACTCAAACCTCTACCCATTCAAGCACATTCGCTCGCTCGCCCACTAAAACCACACAACCCAAACATCCCTATCTCAATAATTTCAACCTCACCAATCCATCCGCCGCTTTCCTTGACAACTCTGGGCTTATCCCCCTTTTACACACTCTCCTCTCCTCATCCGGCTGCGCAAAAATCATCGGTGGATTTGCAAGTCCTATTTTTTGTCTTTCTAAAATCGGGGTTCTTATCTGGGTATTTTCCTTACCACCGATCATTTCGTATTTTCTTCTTGCGACTTCTTGTTCGAAGTTGATTATCATTTTTGTGTCTGTTTCTTTGGATTTAGGGTTGGATTTGGAAGTAGTATTGGGAGTGGGAGTAAGAGGATGTGCATGACCCAAGCCTGAGCTCGAACCAGAATTCGAATTCGGATTTGAATTGGAGCCAAAAGAAGTGCAGGAAATAGCAGAATCTCTTCTCGATAATGAATCCGGTTCTCTTCCGGATAAAGGAGGACTGGAAGGAATATTGATATTCTCATCACCATCCTCTCTCTCCCCTCTTTTCTCTCGGACAAAAAAACATGCATTCTTATTCGCAGAACCAGGAGCTTGTATATTAATAGCTGGAACTGCTTCTCTTCCTGTATTCGTACTAGGCGCACCAGGAAGTGGTGTTCGTTCCATACTCCTCCCATAAGAATATCTGCGAAGACGAGCAAGAGAAGGAAGTTTTGGTGATGTAGAACGCACTTGTAGACGTGAAAGAGGAAGGTCGATTTGGTTTGTTTTTACTTTATAGTTTGCGAGGGAAAGACGGAGACGTAACTCTTGGGATTTCTAGAGGTGGAGTTAGCTTTTTTATTGGTCACAAGAAGTAAAGGAAACAAACTTGACGGATTTCTTCTCGTGATAGAGGTTTTGATTTTGAGGTTCGGAAGGTCTTTGACATGGATATAGTAGTGGGTATGAAAGATGATTCGTTGGATATGATAGTTTCGGTCGATTGGGAATTATTGCTGATGATAACTGCGTCTTTTGCGTTTACTATGGAAGGGAAAGATGATGAAGAAGCAGATGTGGAAGAGCGATTTGGGGAAGACTGCTTCTGAGGTGACCTTGATGACTATATATGTATATCAGTAAACTAAATTTGTCAAAACGGGTAACAAGTACATGCCTTTTGTTCTTGGCCATTCCCCAAATCACTCGACTCGTCTGTTATTCCAACTCTCTCACCACACGCCTTCGCCTCGGGGCCTGCTCTGGCTGGTGACGAGGTGGGTTGTAACGACGTAGATTGCGGGAGTGAACCCACACCTGCGCCAGACCCTTCAAGCAGCGAAGAGTTTCCCGATGATGGTGCAATTCTGCATCGCTTCGCACCGGATGCTCCCGTTCGACTCGATACAACATCTTGTAATTGTACAGTACATGACAAGCGTCTCTTTGTGTTAGCCAAGGAGGCCCGCTCAGCAATTGAAACGTCAACGCCGTGGATTGTGGTAGCCTCCAAGCCTTGATGAACGTTATCTTTATTCGTTGCTTTTTCCATATTTGCAACTCGGGAATCCGTACTCGTGTTCGTCTCCTTCCAATTTTCCCGCTGTAAAGTCGTGATCGACGGTCCCGCCACTTGCGAGGGGTCGTTTGGAACTTTTCCGGGGTGGTTACTAGACGATACTTTCTGAATCTTATTATCTGGCCATAGCCATTCAGGAATCGTTTCTCGCCAAAGGTATGATGCATGATTGCTATCAGTGACTGAAGTATTGATATTGATATTGAGATCCCCCAAGGCGCGACGCGTAGTTGATGATTTTGGTGAATTCATTGTGAAAAGTGAAGGGAACGACTTTAAAGTAAAGTAAAGAATCGACTAAACAACAGACTGTAGAAGTTTGGATTTTGGAAAGCGCGTTCGTGGTTGTTTGTAGCTTCCTGAATATGTCTATTAATCCACGATTCACCAGCACCCGGCCATACTTTTGGCAGCGGCTCACTCTCCAATAACTTACAGATAAATCTCCTTTTCAATTTTTGAGAAGAATTGATAACAAATAAAGTACAACTTCGGACATCTAATGTCAACAGAGATCCAAGAACAATTATAAGTAAATATTCAATTATTCTTTCGCATCAGACTTTCAAATCGCGTCTCATGATATAATGCGGGATCTCTCGAGACGCGATTCTTGGGCAACTTTTATTGTAATTCTGCCGCTTCCTAATAGACCGCCTTGATAAGAAAATGAGGGGCTAGCCGAACCTTGGAACTCTCAGATACCACCTGAGCCACCGAGCCACCATGAGCAGCTCATCACGTGCTAATTTCATCTCATCTCAACAGGGTAGACGGGTAGACGGGGGGATTCACACACACTGACCCATCTAAAATGACATCTATGATCTCACAGGCCAGGCAATAACAGGGTCTTTTAGAAGGCGCCACGCAGTAACCAACCATATCACGCTGGGATCCCTTCCAAATTCCAATCCTTCCACCTTCCACCCTTCCACCCTTCCACCCCTTAAAGCGATTGCGGCCCGTCAACCTTAAAGAAACTACCTGGACCTGGCCACCCGTTGCAAATGCATATCGTGCCTTGAAGATCAGGGTCTTGCAGGGAACTAAATCAGAAAGAACCTTGATGCTTCAATGAAAAGTAGAAAGCATGATTGGAAATGATCTATGCTGCATTTTAGAGTTGAGATTCTATCAATAAAAATAAAACAGACGCACACACACATATATAAACATTCGAATATAATAATCATTTCTTTTATTTGCTTCAACTGCAATCAAAGTGTTTTACAGCATATAGCTATACCTAATCCAGATCGGATTCAAAACAAATGTAACTAACTCGTGCCTCCCATTTCGTTGCTCCACCCATCTCAAACGAGAAGAAAGTCCAAGAAAGAGTAATATATATTTGTCCAAGAAGGCCCATTATAATCATGATATGTAATAATAACCAAAAAATTATTCCAGTCAAGGAAAATTCTTCACCCCACTGAACGCCCTGCTAAAAACAAAAGTACTGGGTGAATATCCTGTCCTTCCCTCCTAGTAGTCTTATCCCAAGACGCCGTGCTTTTCATTGGTATATCATCTCATTGATTTTCCAAAATACCCTGTAAACCCTTCCCACCAGAGAAACGCCCTCCAAAAACCATGATACAACCCCATCTACTCAACTAGATATCCATCGAATAATGCTCATCTATGTTGAATTGAAATGGTTCATTAAAATTTACTTTCCCATCCATATCATCCCATGTTTGTGGAGCGTTAGCAAACTCCACATCATCAAACATGGTCAAGTCTTCATCAAGCTTTGCGTCGTAGGTGTTGGTGTGGTTTTCCACAAGAGCATCAGTATCACTGAGTCCGAATGGAAACCATGACTCATCAAACCCGTCCAAGGCAATGTCCAAGTTGACCCCTTCAGAGATATCACTAGTGGGCTCTGATACACCGTCTTTACTCGATTCTGGAGTATCATTTGGTGTGATGGACCGGTAGTTATTCACATCAGAGATCGCCCCGCCAGCGCCACCTTCAAATGGCTGGAAAGCGCGGACAAGCTCATTAGGATCAATCGTAGCATTC